CGGGTTCGATTCCCGGCGGTGTCCGAATTTATAACTTGTGTTGGGCAAGGCCGTGGTCTAGGCAACACGGAGTTTTCCTCCGGGGGCTTCTTCCCCGGTTTCTCCGTGGCATCCCAACAATTACTCCATTCACACACAGAAGAAGGCAATGGCAAACCACTTCTGGATCATCTGCCAAGAACGTATATGAACAGGTGTCAGTCCGAGAAAAGGATGGAAGGATCCTGTTCATATGGACCTGTCGTCAGACAGAACACTAAATAAATAAAATAAAAATAATTTCCTGATCTTCAGCGTTGTAGAAAACTAGGCAGAAATATAGCAGTAATTATAATATTAACAATTGTAAGTCAGTTTCAATTCACGTAAACAGACTAATATCTAACTTATCAAGGCACTAAATTGTTGTTGCAAATATTGAAATTATTACGCCATTAAATACGTTTCATAAGCAACAGGAATGATGGAAAATGTTGTCTTCCGAATTATTCCTTTCACTTGTTGTTGTAAAGGGCCTTTGGTCTTCGAGATCGTCTCACTAATTAGTTATCTTTGAGCACTGGGTTGTGGCGCCATGCTTCACCCCTGTTCCACCATCGTTGATGCAATGTGTTGTAATTGCTTCATCACGACATACCCACTCAAATGGACTATTTTCGTCAACTCAGCAGAGCAATTGCGCGGTGTTAAAACATTGCAGCAACATTACCAATTCTGTCTATACTGAAATATGCAAATGCAAGAAGAATTATTTATAAGTCACTAGGACATCTCAGTGGAATCTATGATTCAAGCACAAGGATCAACGTGGCAGTTTTGTTTTACTTGCGTTCTACATGTCTACTGAGACGGTCAATGGATATAGGCGATGTTAGGACCAGGACATTTACACTCAAGATCAGCTAAGAGAGATGAAATGAAAATAATATTTTTAACCAACATGTAGTGAAATACACCAGAAGTATTTGTTTTTTGTTCAGGGTTTTGTCTGAACGAAAGTTTGATGTCTTCTACCAGCGTTCACTTTTATCAGAGTGCAAATATTCCAAAGACACGTGACTGGGACGGTGGATGTACGTTTAGCGTTACAAAATGCGACGTAGTGTATTATGATAAATGCAACTAGCTTAATATACAATGGCCATATCGACGTAGCTCAGCTATTCTTGAGAAGCTTAATAATTGCCCAACTAGTGAAAACAAGATCGTTTCTGGAATCCAAAGGATCATCGCCGTACTTACAAGAATTTGCCATTGGTCCTTCTCCTCATTCATGTGAATGAAGTCCACATCCTTACACCCTGTTTCTCTAATATCCGTTTTAATGTTAATCTCCCATTTATGACGTCAGTGTCCTAAGCTGTCTCTTTCCTTATGGTTGTTGGACTAAAATATTTGTATAACAAATGTCACAAATGAAGCCAAGACTGCGCTTACAGGCAACGATTTTCAAGCATAATGTAACCAAACCAGCACTCACCCTTCCATTTCATTGGATGCTAAATTACTTCTGCACTGGATACAGTCTTTGTCAATCCACGCGTTAAAGATATTCAATCGAAGTGGAAGGTAAGAAACAGACTAAGAGTATTCTGAGAGCTGTAACTGGTTGTTCTTGAACAATTTCACCTTCGGACTAAAAATACCGATTTAGACGAGTTCGGACACTCGCAGCAGAACCTGTTTGCGTGTTACGTCACACATCTTGATAGGAAGGTTCACATTCCAGCAGGCACGACCTCAGACCTCTGATTATGGCAACTAGAAAGGAAAATGAAAGCTATTGCTTACTGTTCGTATCTATTCAATGTGTGTGTCTTTTTAGTCTATTAATGACGCTTTCTCGACCACATACGAGTAGTTATATGTTTGATACTCAGTAAGAAAGGCTGAAATAGAAACAAATTACGTTTGACTTGAGCCCTTCTTGCGGAACACCAGCAAAAAATGTCCAGTGGTGGGATGAGTGTGAATGCCGTGTGGAAGGACAGGCCTTGGCCTCCTGAAAATGTTCAAAATGATCGCAACAGAATTGGCATAAACACGATTTTTCATACGTTCTTGTGGCACGATGGACAAAATTTGGAGTCAGAAAGTCAGAAAGACGTCTCAGTCTGGCTTAGTGTGTCTGATAGAATGTAATTTTCACTTGAATTGTACTTCCTCTTCGTGAAAGATTAATTCGCTCGTGACCGGCATGGTATCTTCCGGTAATCCATAACGTAAATTTATTTTCCAATTCTGCTCCGAAGTGACCCACAAAGTAAGCGGAAGATATAATTAATCGTCAGAATAGTAAACTGCAAAACCAGATTAAACAGGGCCTGCAGTGACGCAACACTCGGCCATTAAGTCGAACAACAGCGTTTCGTATTGCCGGAATTCAGGGTTGGAGAAAGCTTCAGCGGCGAAAGCTGAAAAATGGAATGACTTGATGAGAGTTCTACCTATTAAAGAAAACTACAAGTCTCAAGGAAAGAATAAGTATGTTATAACGTAACATGCTCCAAATAATGTTTTAGACGAGAAATGTTAGGTTGTCTCGACCGTGTTGTCAGAAGTAGGCTGCCATCTGTTGAACTGTTCAGATCAGAAGTGTATCTGTCGAATACTTTGAGCATGACGTGAAAGTCTGGTTTCAAATTAGTAGAGGCAGGTATGCCATGTGTGTACTTTGCAGACCACAATTGAAATTATTTGTGTTTCCGGTTTCTTGTTCTTTTACGCAAATGCCACTTGGATTGTTGGGCAACGGCGGCCTGCCGGGTTGCGCAAGGCTCCGAGTATTGCTTCCGTTCGAACAGAGCAGTGTTGCGCAACCTTTATACACGTGCTGCACACAGTTTTGCATATCTTTTGGCGGGGCGGTGTAAAAATGAAGCCAGGAAAATACAACAACAAGGCTAATTCAAACTCATCCAAACGTTTTTGCATTTAAAACGAAAGTGAGCGCCCCTGGTATGTTGGAGGTTTTGGCTCTGGGTGACATGAGGGGATGTGAGATATAATCGTGCAAGAGGGCCCACACTCATAAGCTAAGTATCGGCCCCAGACACGTCGCTACGCAGAGGACACAGAATAAGTACAATTTTGCTCTCACTTAAGACCACGAATTTCAACTGAAGAAGAATATTCAGTTTGCAACAGCTTTATTGGGAAAGCAGGAGTCCATATCGCATTTCTGCGAGACTTTCTTCTTTCAGACAGTAACGCGGAAAGATCGTTAAACCATCTGAGCGCAACGCCACACTGCATGTTTTCCCCGTTTGTCATATTTTAAATGTTTGTAACAAAATCTCAGAACCACATAACGGAAATGTACTTGTTTAGTCAACCGTATCTAAGTTGAATTTTATTTAGTATAAATGTATTCGTTTATGTATTAACCTATGTACGTACGTGTATATGTATGCATACGTATGTATGCGTGTGATAAATTCTCTCAAATACTATTAAATGCTCTCTTAAAGCTGAACAAATTTTAATAGTGTGGAAAGTCGGAAAGCCCAGACAACTTATAATCTTTTCTACGCCAGAAAGAATCTTTCGACCACTCTGTATATTTGTCTGTATCTGTAGGGACTTCTCAGTCACTGTGTTTGCTTTTCGCAAATAGAAGTTTTATATATGTATACATTTCATAATCGCATGGAACATTGGATCATTACGCATATAGTTTTACCTGTATCACTTGTAACATTTTTACTACTGCAATAACTTTTTTCCTACATGTGCTAGTTTTCTTCAACCACTATGTGTATTATTCTATTCCTGGAATTAATTTCAGATTATTCTGCATATTATTTCTTCCTCTACTGGAATTTTTATCACTACATTTTCTCTGCGACATTTAATTTCATATTTGTGTACTTAACCCATATAGACATTCATAATCATTTTCCATACAACTCTCACTATGAAATAATCTCGAAAAATGAGACTACGAAGAATGTTTGCCTGCGAACATATATCCCATGCTAATTATGAGTGCTAATTAGAGAAAGTGACTCACGTGTTATTACGTCGGCTTACAAATGGCAAATGGCTGTGAACCTATGTCACTGTTACCCCCATCTCATGTCTACAAAAACGCGCTGACTGAAGATGCCGTATGTCGGAAAACCGATGTGATTCACAATAAATACGTCTGCATAACTGTTTATGACAACAGCTTCGAACATGCTTCTTAGTAGTTCCAACACAAAATTATAATTAACAGTGATTTATTAATAACGCAACTCTTAAAAATTTACTGAGTGAACACATGTGATCTGTGGAGTTTCAAATATTTATTTAAAAAACTAAGCTTGCAGAAACGAAACTCACACCATAAGGAGGAAAACCTGAAAAACAAATTGTGGCATGGGGGAGAAGTTAACCATGGTCACTAGGAGATCGACTGTTGACATGGCAGTAAAATGGCGGCTCGGCTCGAGGAAATTGATTGTATTCGCACATGGAGTACTTTTGTGTAACTTTCTCCGAAACTTCCGTTGAACAACGGTCGCAAAGTTCGTCTAATGGAACTCGAGCACGCAGAACGCTTTCTCGGGTTGAGTCGCCATTTTATTGATATGTCAAAATTTGCGCTTCTAGCGGTCATTGTCGCAGTCATGCCACTTTTCCAGCATGCTCCGTCCAACGGCACAATTTTCATTTGTTTATGTCGTATAGTTTTGTCAAAAACATTTTTCAAACCGCTCAGATCATTTGTGTTCGCCTTGTATTAACTTCGTTAAGTCCGAGGTCTGTTCCTTTACGTTGGTAACATGAGGGGTCCCCTGGAAATGACACCCCACAAAACAGTAGTAGTAAAAATTTATGATGCCTAGTTATTGACGCCGAAAACCAATCGACTACAAGATGATGATTTAAATTTCAACTCTTCATACTGTTTATTCGTACTAATTTAGCACAAGAAATTTTATCTTCATTTATTTTACGATTGTTTTAGGTCGGTATTTTAATAATCACACAACTTTTAAATAGTTTAACTGTTGGACAATATTCATTACATTCTAATCGATAGTTTTTCTAAGGTAATGATAATTCTTTATCCCTGAGGATGGCTCAGTAGAGCTGAAATGTGTTGGGTAAAAACAGTTAAGTACCTGACTACATCTGTTTTGACACTTATAGTAAGTTATTGCATTTGTCGGCTTTAATTAATTTATTTATAAAATTATGTGAGTTACATTTCGGAATATTTAGAAATAGCATTATGGCGAATTTGGAATATAAAGAACAAAAGAAAATATCTCAAAACTATAGATATTAGGTACCGGTACATATAAAACTGTATTTTGAGAACTAAATATTTACAGACACAAAACTTTGGTTCTGCGTGAAGTTCAGACGCACTACCTACCTGTTGATATGCTCTCGGGGTGGTCTGCTGGAGCGACGAGCGAGAACTGCCAACAGTGAAATCCAAGATTCGTTGATCTGCGAGGAAGAGACCCGGATATGATACACCCGGGCAATTTGCGTAACCAGAGAAGCTATAATTGAAGTGAGGATGGCGTGCTGGCGTGCTGGTCACTGATCCTCGTCGGTCAGCACTAGATACAGCACTGCTGACTTCCCACCACCACTACGGTACGGCAGAACACCAGAGGTTGTGGTTTCACCCACATGCAAAGTTGTTTATAGACTTCTTTCAAAGGCATACACAAAACACTGTAACAATGGAGTAATGGGTATTCATAGCTTCTAAAACTTCTGAAGGGGGAATGCCCGTTGTGAGGTGTCACGACAGCACAATACATGAAAATGCAGATACACATCCAAGCCCCAAGTGGGATTCGAACGATCCACGTATTTGGAGGGTTGAGTTAGGACAGACGGCCTCTGTGATTAGCTACATTTTTTGCACTTGGACACTTCCTTCTGTATAGATTTTTAGATAAGGCCATTAATTTTCAGCTTAGGCTGTACTGAACCTAGAAGAAGACTTAATGCTTAGTCATGGCTAATAAATCCGTTGAAAATGTGCCAAAATTAAAACATTTGGTAACGACGGTGGCAAATCAAAATTGCATTGCATTTAGAGCAGAATAAATTCCGTAATGGCTACTAACACGCAATCAATCTGCTGAAGATTTCTGTCATCTGGGTTGTTGCGCTGTGTAGTCTGGTCGATGTTAGCCAACGTTTCAGAGGTCATACTGCCTCCGTCATCAGGGCGATGAGTATGAAGATTTCTGTCTTCTGGGTTGTTGCGCTGTGTAGTCTG